GGACAGGAAGGCCTGGCGCGATATGGTTCATGGGGTCACGAAGAGTTGGACACAACTTAACAACTGAACAACAACAACAGATTATAGGACTTAATGCTAGCCTAACTTATGACGCATAACTCAGCTTCACATTCCACATTAAATCCTAATGACAAAATCAAAAATTATGTTATTGTTACTGCTATATTTTTACCTTTTTCTCTGTGATGATTCAATTCTTTGTTTATCACAGATATTGGTCTTGATGAATCTAATTTCACAGAATCATTAGACATATTTTTTTCTTGAAGCTCCTTTTCCTCGTTTGTCAGACCATGATTCTGAAACTCTGCCTGTCCAAAAGTCAGCATCTGTATATTAGCCTTTTAAAAAAAGCAAGAAAATAAACACAATATTTTTCTGTTTTGTTTTATATTAACAAATGTCACAGAGTAGCCTTTCCCCAAATGTTATCCCTCAGAAGTTCTGAACTACAACTCATACTGATTAGCTATTCTGGGAAGTATAGTTTAATACATCTGGAGAACACAAGGTTGGGGAAGCTGATGTAGAATTATTTAGCAGAATACTGTGCTGGGTTAACACCTAGTTCAGTTTACAATGAGTGTTGTGTTAATATATTCAGAATATATTTAAGGGCATACCTCATCACAAAACCACACTTCTAAGTCCAAATTGTACTTATGCGGAATTCTTGTATAACCGTAATCAGAAAAAAAGGCAGATCAACATAGTAAAATCTAAGAGGAATGTTCAAATGTTGGAAAGTATGCAAGTGTTGGAAGTATGCATGTAGAAACCCCTAGTATTTTCAATGCAATTACTTTTCCTTAAGGACAGTTGTAATGATATCCTAGTACAGCTTGTCCAGACACACAGTAGTGAGAGAAGTGATGGGTGTACCTCAGTATGTAAGCTGCACTGGCTTCTGGGTGCAATTCCAAGTGCTGGTTGTTATCTGTAAAGCCCTATATGACATAGGCCTGGATATATGTGGGACTACGTATCTCCAATTGTCCAGTAATATCTGACACAGTTGGCATGCTTCTGGCCCAAATTATTAACGGTGCCATTTTGTGAGACCCAACAGGCATGCCTTCTCTCTTGTGGCATCTGCCCTCTGGAATAATATTCCCCCCAAGTTCTGTATAATCTCAATCCTGCCATCCTTAAAACAGCATTCAAAATTTGGATCTTTCCTCATGTCCTGGGCCAGGCCCACTTCTGCATTTAAGTCTAACAATGACTCTTTTTTCTGAGTTTCCCCTTCTCCCCAGCATGGCTGCTTCTACGTAGTTTTAAATTGTTATTTTGTTGTTTTAATCCTTACGTCTACAAGGGGCTGAAGAAATTAAACAAACTAACAAATAAATAAATACATCTTGCTACCTCAAGTCTATCTCTTTATTTGCTACCATCATGCTCAGTATTTTTCTGTGAGGACTCATATATTCAGGTTCATACATTTTCAGTGGAGGAGGAATATACTGAAATAGTACATCAGCACTTCACCTCATTCCACTCAATTAATTTGACTTAGCAAAAGTAGTATTCCTTCTTTATTTCAAATGACAGCCAATAAAATTAAGCACTTTTTAATGCTACTTTAGACTCAGATTTTAATTAGAGAAATACATGTTATGCTATTATTGTCAATGATGTCATACTTATAAATGTAGTGGACTATAGAAAGGGAATGAATGAATGAATGAGTGTGTATGTGTGTGTATATTTTAGGCAGATGTGCCTAAAAGTTTTATGCAGGTGTGAAAAAATGCTGTAAAGTAAGAATGCTTTCAAAAATATATATTGTAATTGTTTATGTTTATCAATTTGACAAAATGCAAAATTAGCAAACAGAAGAAAAATCTAAAAATCTTCTCTTCTGTTCCCTCAGTTTACATTTTGTAAATTGATAAACATAAACAATTACAATATATATTTTTGAAAGCATTCTTACTTTACAGCATTTTTTCACACCTGCCTAAAACTTTTAGGCACATCTGCCTAAAATATACACACACATACACACTCATTCATTCATTCATTCCCTTTCTATAGTCCACTACATTTATAAGTATGACATCATTGACAATAATAGCATAACATGTATTTCTCTAATTAAAATCTGAGTCTAAAGTAGCATTAAAAAGTGCTTAATTTT